AAAAAAAAAAAAAAAAAAAAAAAAAAAAAAAAAAAAAAAAAAAAAAAAAAAAAAAAAAAAAAAAAAAAAAAAAGAAAGGACCAAAAGTCAACATAAAGCACAGAAAATTATTCTTTGTTATCTAAGCAGAATACAGAGAAGATAATAAACTACCTAATGATGGGTGAAGGTATCAATCAGTAACCAATGAAGCAAATCCATCAAAACTGCACAAACTTCGCTAAGATTTTAACATACTTCATAACTCCTTTTCAGGTTCAGGTATTATAAACCAAAGGAAACAAAATTCACTTACTGAGCTTTGTTCTTTATTATGCTTTTTTGTGTCCTGGAACATATAGACAGTTTAGGTTAGATTTCATAGTTCCTTTAGGGCAAAACTAACTTCATAATAAAATTAAGATGTTATTTTTGTTAACATGCAAAGTGTCCATCATTACTGTCTTTCTATGAATTAATCTTTAAATTTTTTCAGTTTCAATTTTCAATATGCTAAATATTGAAATATAAGTGAAAGATCTTTGGGGTCTCAAGAGTGTAAAAATGCCCATCGATGATAGACTGGACGGGAAAAATGTGGCACATATACACCATGGAATATTACGCAGCCATAAAAAAAGATGTGTTCGTGTCCTTTGTAGGGACATGGATGAACCTGGAAGCCATCATTCTCAGCAAACTGACACAGGAGCAGAAAATCAAACACCACATGTTCTCACTCATAGGCGGGTGTTGAACAATTAGAACACATGGACACAGGGAGGGGAGCACTACACACTGGGGTCTGTTGGAGGGGAATCGGGGAGGGACAGCGGGGGGTGGGGAGTTGGGGGGATGGCATGGGGAGAAATGCCAGATATAGGTGAGGGGGAGGAAGGCAGCAAATCACACTGCCACGTGTGTACCTATGCAAAAATCTTGCATGTTCTTCACATGTATCCCAAAACCTAAAATGCAATTAAAAAAAGAGATCTGGAGAGCAAAAAGATTGAGAATCACTGCTTTAATGCAAAATGACTCCTTTCTTCTTGATAAAATAAAAGCACATATATAGTTGAATTTTTCTGTCTTGATTTTTCCTAGAATAGTTACAAATTCTCATATTAATGATAACTTTTAATGAAAATAACTCACTTTTATTTCAGAGAGAAAATGGGGATAGGTCGTAGATAATTGAGCCTTGTCTGTAATATACAGCATTTTAGCAGACTAGTGAAGCTCATCCTGCAAGTTTCCGCAGCCAGAACACCTTGCTTTTACATCTGAAAATGACAAATATACCTATCTTTCTATAGTGCCAGGAACTCTCGACCAGCAAGAGGATTTGAACCTGAGTGGGGGGTGCGCAGGAAGAAAAGGAGATAGAACAGCGGGGTCAGGAGGGCTGAGGAGTAAGTGCTCCACCGCAACTTTATTCTTCAGAAGTTCAGAATATATACATTTTCCAAATCTTGTTTATGTTATTGTCAGCAGAAAAACAAGAAGATAAATCACACGCTAAGCACAATGTAAATGACAGATATAGAATAGGGAATTGTGAGGGGTAGCGATTAAAGATGCTTACTCATATAGTTTACACAATACTTTGTTCCTCAGGACTGCATGCCCATCTGGTTATCTTTTGTTCCTTCCTTCAACATATGGTTATCTTTTTAACTAGACTCTCCCTTGTGTCTCCAACTTCCTTATCTTGAGTTCCCTCCTCCTGGGGTCCCTGCATTCTGGGCTCAACCACCCATACAGTGAGATTCGCTTTGCAAGGTTTCATACGGGAGGGCTCCCAACACTACAGCATGTAAAAATAAGAAGCAAAATTACATAACTTAAAATTATACTTAGTAATCAACATTTCAGTATTCTGCCTCCCTTATATCTCAGTATCCAAAGATTACCTGTGAGTTATCTCACATTTCTATCAATTCAAGGTTTTAAGTTAATTAAATATCTTAGAAATTAACGTCAAGTCTACTTACTATAAAACTTATTGTTGAAATAAAATTAATCAGAATGATTCAATTTAGCTAAACATAAATTTACATTTTCATTATCTTAAATCATATAGAAATAATGCTAACTTATTTGAACAGTAAACCTGTGTAGGTTTAAGAAAAAAACATACCCAAGTAAAATAAAAAGTATGGTTGTATTATCTTTAACATTGATAAGTTGAAGACAACAGAGCTGTTTTTATTGAACCAAAACTAAACTAGTGGTTTTTGCCAAAGCTTTACCTTAATTATAGTTCTGGATTCTGATATATTTCTGAGTTTCTTAATATATTCTTAATATATTTCTGGATTTTTAAATTTTTTTGAGTTTTTGTAAGAGTAATTTATTTAAGTATAGCACATTTAAAGTATTTGAAGTTTACTTCTTTCTTTCCTTCTTTCTCTCTTTCTCTTTCTTTCTTTCTTTTTCTTTCTTCCTTCCCTCCCTCCCTCCCTTCCTCCCTCCCTTCCCTTCCTCCCTCCCTCCCTTTCTTTCCCTCCCTCCCTCCCTCCCTCCCTCCCTCCCTCCCTCCCTCCCTCCCTCCCTCCCTCCCACCCTCCCTTCCTTCCTTCCTTCCTTCCTTCCTTCCTTCCTTCCTTCTTTCTTTTGTTTCTTTCTTTCTTTAGACAGGGTTTTGCTCTGTTGTCCAGGCTGGAGTGTAGTGGCATGATCTCAGCTCACTGCAATTTCTGCCTCCTGGGTTCAAGTAATTCTTGTGCCTCAGTTACCGAGTAGCTGGAATTATAGATGTGCACCACCGCACTTGGCTAATTTTTAAATTTTTAATAGAGATGTGATTTCACCATATTGGCCAGACTGGTCTTGAACTCCTGACCTCAAGTGATCTGTCTGCCTTGGCCTCCCAAAGTGCTGGGCTGAAGTTCACTTTTCTGATTTTCTGATAATCTTGGGAATATCCCATCTATATAAGCACTTATTTATCTCTTATGTAAATCAATCCAAAAAAACACTCCTTTAAAAGACTTCATAATGTAATTTTTTGATACCCCTGGGAGATAGGAAACCATCCAGTTACAAAGAAAGGTGCAATCTTTTGTAAATTACATAGATGTACATATACATAGTGAGCTTAAAGCTTTGGTTCTAGGTTAGCCACAGGTCAAGCATTGATACAGAAATACCGAAACGCATCAAAGAGCTGTCCTCCTTCCTGGTGAGCTTGAAATTCTTGATTGGTTTGGCTCAAAATAGACACATAGATAAACAAAAAAGATGAATCGAATTATACATGTTCACTTCAGTCAAGGAAAAAATAGATAAGGCCAGGTACAGTGGCAGGCACCTATAGTCCCAGGCTTGATGGTTGCTTGAGCCCAGGAGTTTGAGATCAGCCTCGGCAACACAGTGAGATCCTCTGAAAAAAAAAAAAAAAAAAAAAAAGACAAGAAAACAGATATTTAGAATCTCTTAACCCAATTTTGGAGCCCATCAAATGCTCATATATTGAAACCAATTTCCTAATCTTTTCTGACCCAGATGGAAAATAATTTATCAACCATAAATAAAACAGACACACATATACACACAGACAATAGCAAGGAAAATAAACTAGAGAAATGGAGAGTTAGCGAAGTTAAACTTCTATTGTCACTTGGTATTTATCTCCGGGAGCTAAGAAAATATGTGCCTGGACTCAAGTCACTTACTGGTTACACTTTCCTGGCAATGTAGTTTACTTGCCTCTGTCAGGTGAATTCATTGGGCATTTTGGTAGAAGATCTCCAAAAAGATAATTCTTAAAAAAGGTAAAATAATGACTCCAATACACATGTAAAATGAACAGATGTCTAAGATTTTACATAACCCATTTATTAATGAAGGAACCAGTAAGCTATCACAGCTAGTTTCTTGTTTTCAGTAATTAAAATATTATAA